TACAGGCACGCACCACCATGCCCAGCTGATTTTTTGTATTTTTAGTAGAGATGGGGTTTCACCATGTTGACCAGGATGGTCTCGATCTCTTGACCTCGTGATCCACCCGCCTCCGCCTCCCAAAGTGCTGGGATTACAGGCGTGAGCCACCGCGCCCGGCCTAGTTGTTTTAATTTTTATCTCTCACAAATGGATGAGAATATGTGAGGTTTGTCTTTTTGTGGCTGGCTTATTTCACTTAACATAATGTCCTCAAGCTCCATCCATGCTGTTGCAAGTGACAGAATTTCATTCTTTTTTATGGTTGAATAGTACTCCATTGTGTATATACACCAAATTTTCTTTTTAGAATATTTTTATTATTTTTAAAAAGATAAATATGAGATGGGGGTCTCGCTATGTTGCCCCGGCTGGTCTCAAACTCCTAGGCTCAAGCAATCCTCCTGCCTGAGCCTCCCAAAGTGCTGGGATTACAGGTGCGAGCTCCTGCACCTGATCTGTACCACAAATTCTTTATCCATTCATCTGCTGATGGACACTTATGTTGCTTCCAAATCTTGGCTATTGTGAATAGTGCTGCCATAAACACAGAGTGCAGATATATTTTTAAAATACTGATTTCCTTCCTTTTGAATCTATATCTAGCAGTGGGATTGCCGGATCATATGGTAGTTTTATTTTTAGTTTTTTGATGAACCTCCAACTGTTCTCTGTGGTGGCTGTACTAATTTACATTCCCGCTGACAGTGTATGAAGGTTCCCTTTTCTCCACATCCTCGCCAGCATTTGTTATTGCCTGTCTTTTAGATAAAAGCTATTTTTACTGGGGTGAGATAATATTTCATTGTAGTTTTGATTTGCATTTCTCTGATGATCAGTGATGTAGAGCACCTTTTCATGTGTCTGTTTGCCATTTGTGTGTCTTGTTTTGAGAAATGTTTATTGAGATGCTTTGTTCATTTTTAAAATTCAGATTATTAGATTATTTCCTGTAGAGTTGCTTGAGCTCCGTATAGATTCTTGTTATTAATTTCTTCTCAGATCGTTAGTTTGCAAATGTTTTCCCATTCTGTGGGTAGTCTCTTCACTGTATTGATGGTTTCCTTTGCTGTGCAGAAGCTTTTATTTTGTTCTGAATAGACAATGATGTCATTTATTTTATTTAAAATGTTTACTCCAAGAAATATATATATTTAAAAAATACAATTACAACACTAAACCAGGCACCTTAGACCAAATCACAACCTCCTCTTTGATTCTTCTTCATGCTAAGCTTCTTTCGAATTCTTGTTCCTGAACTGGAAGACCAGTCAGATGCCTGCAGGGTCAGCGCCAAGCACGTTCCCAGCTGGGCAACTGTACCTTCCTCTTGGAGTGCATGATGCCCTTCCCCCCAACTCCATGTTTTAAAGGATTTAACCCATAAGGAAGTTCATTTTCAATCCAAGCCAAAAGGAGGTGCAGACAAGGCAGTCTTCACTTCAAAGGTCTTTTTCCTGCTCCAGTCCCTGGGTAGGGTTCTAGAATTGGCTGGCTGCCAGGTTTACATAAGGCTTCCAGAAGATATAAGTCCAGCTCCGCCCAGGACAGCTCCTGCAAAGGCTGGGACCTCGGGTGCAGCATCCTCAACCCTCTTAGTGACCGTGACTCAAAGGAGAGACCTCAAGGATGCCAGGAGCTCAGGTGCCTGGGCTGCGTTCCAGGAAAGAGACCTGTCCAGGAAAATGGATCAGCCTGTTGCATGGAAGCTTGAGCCAGAGATGGTGGTTTCAGGTTATTTGGACAAATTAGGTTCCTTTAGCAAAGCTCTGAAGTGGCAGAAGCTTTTTAACTTGATGTGATCCCATTTGCCCATGTTTGCCTTGGTTGCCTGTGCTTCTGGAGTGCAAGAAGTCTTTGCCCAGACCAATGTCCTGGAGAGTTTCCCCAAGGCTTTCTTGTAGTAGTTTCATAGTTTGAGGTCTGAGATTTAAGTTTTTAATCCATTTTGATTTTATTTTTATATATATCAAGATATAGCAGTCTAGTTTCATTCTTTTTTATATGGATATCAGTTTTCCCAGCACCATTTATTGAAGAGACTGCCCTTTCTCCAGTGTTCTTGTCACCTATGTCAAAAATGAGTTCACTGTAGATGTATGACTTTATTTCTGCGTTATCTATTCTGTTCCACTGGTTGTACACCACCAATCAGATGTAACCCAAAGAACACTACCTCAACGCATTTAATAAGCAAACTCCCAAACGTCAAGGATAAAGAAAGGATCCTAAAAGCAACAAGAGAAAAGAGATAATAACATCCAAGGGAGCTCCAATACATCTGGCAGCAGGCTTCTCCATGGAAACCTTACAGGCCAGAAGAGACTGGTATGACATGTTTAAAGTGCTGAAGGAAAAAACTCTTCTATCCAAGAATACTATATCTAGGGAAAATGTCCTTCAATTATGAAGTGAAAATAAGGACTTTCCAAGACAAATGAAGCTGAGGGATTTCATCACCACCAGACCTGTCCTACAAGAAATGGTAAGAGAGTCCTTCAATCTGAAACCAAAGGATGTTAATGAGCTATAAGAAGTCATCTGAAGGCACAAAACTCACTGGTAATAGTAAATATACAGACAAACACAGAATATTATAACACTGTAATAGTGGTGTCTAAACTACTCTTATCTTGAGTAGAAAAACTAAAAGGTGAACCAATCAGAATAACAACTACAAGTTTTCTAGGCATGGACAGTTTAACGAGATATAAATACAAACAACAAAAAGTTTAAAAAAATGAGGATGAAGTTAAAGTGGCAAGTTTGCAGTTTTCTCTTTGCTTGTTTGTTTTTGCAATCGGTGTTGTCATCAACTTAAAATACTGGGTTATTTGCAAGCTTCATGGTAACCCCAAATCAAAAACCCTACAACAGATACACAAAAGATAAAAAGCAAGAAATCAAAACATATCACCAGAGAAAATCACCTGTAATGCAAAGCCCCACAATCACTGCACTCTCTCTCCCCCAAACACACAGGCTGTCTCTCTGTACCATGTCTGCACTGCCAGTGGATGGGGGAGGGGTGGTGTCAGCAATTCAAAACTGTCTTATACTCTTCAGTACCTCTTTTTTTTTTTAAATATGGTGTTCAAACTAGGTACTGTGATTACTCAGCTGACTTTTGGTTCTTATGAAGGTGCTTTCTCATGTGGATGGTTGTTCAGTTTGGGTGTTCCTATGACAGTGATGACTGCTGGAAGGTTCTAACCAGCCATCTTGCTCTGCTGAAAATCAAATCCATTTTGAGTTGATATTTGCATATGGTGTAAGATAAAAATTCAATTTTATTCATTTGCATATGGATATGGTTCTCTCAACACTATTTATTGAAAAGACTATCTCTTCCTCATTGTGTAATCCTGATGCCTTTGTCAAATAGTAGTTGATGATATATACATGGGTTAACTCTATAGTCTCTATTCTGTTCCATTAACCTATATGTCTGTTTCTATGCAAAAACCATACTGTTTTGATTATTATAGCTTTGTAGTATAATTTGAAACCAGGGACTATGCTTTCTCCAACTTGCTTTATCTTACTCTAGATCACTTTAGCAATTTGGGTCTTTAGTGGCTTTCAACAAATTTTAAGATTATTTCCCCTATTTCTGTGGAGAATGCCATTAGAATTTTGAGAAGGATTGCATT